TACATCGTCGTAAATGCGATAAGATAATTAACCCAACCGTACTTATACTGGCTTCCGTTCGAAAAAAAAAAAAGTATTGTATCGTTCTGATACGATTAATTATACGATAACGTCAAAAAAAAAAGTTGGAAGGAAATCAAGATTTATAAAAGAATACGTCTGAAGTTCCTACTCTTGAAAAATACGTTGTGTATTAATTAATATCGTTATTGCTACCAATATTATCACGAAATTACGTCTAATTTATCAGAGAGGACTCATGGAATTAAACGTAAAAGTGTATAAAATGGCGGTCCCTCGTACTTCTTGAAAACAAATATCTCTTGCAACGAACTAACGCGCAAGAAGTCATTTAACGGCAGATATTCTCCGTTCTCTGGCGCAGCAAAAAAACCGGGTGACTTACGTAATCTTCGCCATCGGTCGAAGGAAAGGAAGAAGAAAAAGGAAGAGAGAGAGAGAGAGATAGAGAGAGAGAGAGAGAGAGAGAGAGAGAGAGAGAGAGAGAGAGAGAGAGAGACAGAGAGAGAAACGAAGAAACGGTCGCGCTTCCATCAGACGATACGATTAACGTATATATACACAATCGCGGCCTCCGCGGGCGTTTTCTTACGCACGTGTGCACACGCGTGTGCGGCCTATCACCAGCCGAAGAATCGAGATAACGTAATCGACGATGACATTGAATGCCGTAGTATAACTGACCGCGTGCATTCCTGCGCGCTTTCTCCCCTCCCCCCCTCCCCCTGCCCCGTCTTCTTTTCTACATCGCGGTTGGCAGAACGTCGTTTCAGATCGATTCTTGCACCGCGCACCGATGCCAACGGTAGGTTGTCACCTCTGGATATAAACGACGGGTGACGTCAGTATGACATCAGTGATCCATATCGTCGTAACGCACCGTAAGGCGCCTCGCGCTCGCGTATTGCAAGCCAGACACTTTACGACGCGTCAGCGTAGAGACATCTTCGATAATTCGATGCGTCGGCGACGCGGCAGGTAGACCAAAGAAGTACGCGGAGGGAGGGGAGAGAAAGGAGGACGGGGCTAAATGCCGGAGGAAGAGAGAACAAAAGGAGCACGCGAAGGCGGAATTGGCGAGAGGAGGTAAAGGATGGATGTTAACGCGCGACTCACCGGCAAACTCTTAAAACCCTTCAGCGGTATTTTATGGGTGGGGTCGCCCTCACCGGCGGAGAGGACTATCCAATGCGCCTAGTAGTAGTCCGACCAGACAAAATGCAAATCTCTGCGCGCCCCGCTAATCTGTCTGGTGCATCCGTGAGGTCGGGACCCATTGGCGGCGGAGACTGCGGCCGCTGTGCGAAAGCATGGGCCAGCCTCGAGTTTTCCCGCGTACCTCGTAAATCAAAGCCCCGTCCGCGGAGAGAAGGAGACTGCGCGACCGGCTGCAGGAAGGAAGTCAGGGTCTTATGCGTGTCTGCCGGACGATCGTCGAACTGACGCACCCTGTGCCTGCCTATGTGATTCATATTCAGCGAAATCGCTGAATAATATGCGGGAAGCTGCGGCGACCGCACGCATACGGTCGAAGACTCGCTAGAAAAACCGGTCTAAGTATAGAGAGATCAAGGGTTTAGATAACGCGCCTCCCCCCCCCTTTAATGTGTCACAAGTGATCCAATCGTTCGTTTCAGTTTTACTGCGCTGATTAATAATCTACAAACGAGAGAAGAACGATATGAACGGCGATCTCGATGTTAATTACGTTTATATGTTTCATATATAATGGCATTTATACGTTCGGTAAATACACGTATCATAAAAGTGGCGTTCACCGCGCCGCGCTTGTGTTGATGCGTTAACTCAATTTACGTGCCGTAATTAAGAAGTCCGGGTGTACACTCTCTCGGAGAGCGGTTCTTATTTCTCCTCGACTTTTTTAATCATCGCCCCGATTCAGAACTCCGAGTGAGGAAGAAACCTGACGCCTCTGCAGACTACTCCCGACGATCCCTTATGCGCATACCGTATCAAATGTTGCGAGCTACGCATAATCTATCTTTTCTCTATAGTGCTCGTACCGTACGTTCACCCGTGTGTGTGTGTGTGTGCGCGCGCGCGCGATACTCCCGCTGTAGGTGCCGATTGGAGTAGCATTTCCTCGGCGCGGCGTATAAACACGACTTACGCGTACACGGTTGTTAGCGCGTACGTATACGTACGCTACTCGAGAAGGTGCAGAAAGAGATGCGACTATACGCGCGTCCCACATACCTCTATGAATGACGTTGCAATAATGAAAGGCGAACGTTTTTCATAATAAAGCATATATATATATATATATCCGTCGTCAGTCGCGTGTCGTTTTGCACGGCGTCCCTCTGGATATTTAAAGACGCATCGTCTAATGCCCGTATCACCCTAGCGATTGGATAGTCGCGTCTGGCCAGCAGCTTGGTTTTTGATTTTGCGTTAAGGGCGACTGTTACCAACGCCGATTGAACGCCGATTAACTTAATCGATGATTAGTCCATTGGAATTGACCGATCGCGTCTGTCGTCAAAACTAAATGATAAATGCAATTGGTCAGTTCCAATGTACTAATCGCCGATTAAGTTAATCGGCGTTGGTATACAGTCGTCCTTAAAAGACGCAAACGCGAACGCAGACGCAATCTCCAATCGCTAGTGTGATACGGGCATAATATCGACTAACGTTCTCTTGCGGAATTTTTGTTACGTTTATACGTGTAAAAGGGCGATTTGTAGTTTAATTTTCCATACGTGCGTATAATTTGTAGAAGGAAATTATGCAGGCAGTATTAATGTGAAGCGTGTATCTCCGGACGCTTTCGTGTGTGATATTTACTTTAGTGTTTCGCAATCGATAAGAAATAATACCTTGTTGACTAGTACGTGTACTATCTTCAGACATTACTTGTTCGGTTTCTCCATAAAATAATACATGTCTTTATATAGCAACGACACGCGAATCGCGATCTTCTATTATCTACCCTTTTCTCGCTATACGCACTTTATCTCTATATGCGTGCGTGCACTTTTGAACGCACGTCGACGCTCTCGCTCCCCGATATGAGATCCGCGAAGCCATGAGGCCCGAATGGGCTCGTATCGGGCACCTCGCTCCCACACTCGCCCGCACGACGATGATATTGCGCTCTTTCTCCTGGTATACGATTCGCGTCTCTTTCCGCTCGTGCGGTACGCTCCCTCTCGCCTGCGCTCTCTCTCTCGCTCCTTTTCTCCTTTCCGTCTTTCCACTCGTCGGTCCAAAGAGGCGAAGGTGGAGGCTAATCACCACGCAATCACCGCTCCCGGTGCGGCCGGGACTCCGACCCGTTCCCAGAAAGCAGCAACCGCCTTTTGCCGCCTTGGGGCATTCACCACCGCCGCGGTACCGGTGCTGTGCAAAACCAACAATCTTCGTCCTGTGCCGCGGAAAAAAGAGCACTGCCCCTCCTCGCGCCCCCCCCTTCGGTTCCCCGCCCCTTTTCGCCAAATCACCGGAGGGCCGACCGATCGTCCGACTACTGGCATCCGGGGAATCCACCGCGAGAATAGCCCCGCGATTCCACCTTGGCAGTGCCTATCGAGAGAGGAGGAAGGCATGCATTAAACCCGCGGAGGCAACTACCGCGTCGACACGACACTGTCCGGAATACGTATATGGTTGAAAAGAAGTATATTTTGGGATAATTCCCCCGTACGAATGATGGACGTTTCGTTCTGAAATGCGTTTTGAATCGACATTATCGCGTGTAATGAGAGTGCACCGTAAGGATGAAATGAGGCACCTGCTCAAATAATTGCATGTGGTGAAACCCTATAGGAATAACGTGGTTATTGCGTGCGATTTAGTAACCCATAGGTGGTAGGCCGCGATTACAGGGATATTATACCACAAAAAATGTCTTGTACTCTCCACGGAACTTTGTTGCATTTTTATAATGTATTAATCAATTATAATTCTGAGACTCAATAATTGAAAGAAATAGAAATTAAATAGACTACGGAGTCTAAGCTAGGATGTAAAAGATGTTCTTTAATATAAACAAAATACAAAAGTTACAAACGTTTCTATCGGGTCATCATCAGTGTATATCAGAATTAGATTCTTTTGTACATAGAGTTAAAAAACCAAACGTTTAATAGAAAGTTAAAGATTAATTTCTAATCATCGTTTAAATCATGATCATGATTTCAATCGGGAAGAAATCAAAATATTAAATAACCTTCGTATAATAAAAAATTAATTTCGGAGGATAAAGGATTAATTAATTTTCGGAAAAATTAACATTTTTCCACAGTTCCAAGTTATATGTATAGGTTATAGCAGGTGAATAACGGAATGCAGCCTGTGTATGCAGGATCTAATGCACAAACTGATGTTTATATTTACTGTCATTTTGACGTTAAAGATGTTATTTTAATGTCAAAATGACAATAAGCAATGTCAGTTCGTTTGTTAGATTAGAAGTACGATTTAGAAACCAGGTGGTACCATTTAACGACCCGGTCTCTAAATCGTACCGAAAGCTACTTTTTCTCAAAATCTAATTTAAACAATAATTTAATGTTTATTTTCGCAAAAGTATCGTTTTATTTTATTGCCAATGAACCAAAGTTTAATGCAAGTACAGAAATATTCTGATCTCTTCAGCACTTTTGTTACAATTTTGTTTAAACGTTAGAGAGGTGTGATATAGGCGACTTCCCTCTATACCTCGTGTATAACATAAGTTTCCCAGCGCATAATTGTTTTATTGATATGTCACAGTACAGCGAAATTAAATCGTAGCCTGTCAAAAACGGGTAACTTCGCGGCTTTCGCGGATAAAGGTACTTTATCGCTGTCCACCCTTACAATTAGACACGAGATAATGCACGCAGGAAATGGGTAACCGGTAGGTAAGGACGTAAATTGATATAGTTGGAGGCGATGGTCGTTAGAGAGTATATAATATTAGGTGCACCTTTACCATACACCCACGCGACAGCGTAGCCGACGCTTACAGGATGCCTGAAACTGCTGGCTTCGGGCAACTCCGAGAGAAGAGGAGGCGTGAGTTTATGATAAGATACACATAGCCACGCAACTGGCTTCCTCCACTCTGTTTCGCGCTAAAGGGTTAATCGAATTGGGACTTATTGTTACGTCGCCCGCAGATCTGTTAGATATCGCCTCGCGCATAGAAATTACGACGAGCGAGTTCTCGAATTTACGTACTCTCGTTTCATTGGCGCTGTAAAATATGTCTGCAGTAAGATAATTAATTACGAAAAGATTTCCTCTCAATCGATGATTATTTATCATCTGATAATTGTCTACTCGAAGGAAATAAACAGAGAAATTACGAAAGATAATTACAATTGTATTCGCGTCAGTAAAAACATCAAGATTTTTTTAATACGTTGTGCCGAAGAGAAATGTTGATTTATTTATTAAGGATGTCAGGTGTACCTATTAGTAGCAAAAAGTGAATTAAACTAGAAATTTATACACGTTCCGTATAAAAATAAAAATTATATGTATATACATAAAAAACAGTTTATTAAAGTTGATATATCTATTTCTTATTAAAATAATTTTCAATCCGGGTTCTAAAAATTTTTTATATTACTTTCATAAATGTAATATAAAAAAATTATCTAAATAAAACTCACAAGTAATCTGGATATAATATATGTGCATCCTTTTTATTATAAAATACACTGCACAAATATTGTAACTTTTTTCATCTTAAGAAGTACATCTTTTTTAAATCTTTTAATTCTTTTCATCCGCGGTTACAATTTACGTTAGAGATCGGAACAAATTCTTTAAATTTTCTTGACATTTCGATCATCATTAAAGAGAATAACTTAATTTTCAATTGGTACCAAAAACCCACTTTTTCGGGCAGATTTCTTAATTTTTATTCAAACCATCCATTATCGCAAAAGAAAGGCATAATCATGAGTTTAGTAGACAGAGCGCTAATATTATCAGATCCAATTTTCCATAATAACAATTTAATTTTTATTATAAAAATTTTAATTGAAAACGATTACCCTGTGAGATTAATTTTTGATTGCATCAATAACAGAATCAAGGATATTGCACACGATAGTTCAAAGAATAGCAATGTTTTAAATGACAATAATAAGAAAGAATCATCAGAACTTCCTTCATGGTTTACAGTACCATATGTACCGAGACTTACAGAAAAATTCAAACAATTTAACAAAAACAATATCAAGGTGGCATATTTTAGTTCTAACAAACTAAGAAAATATATTAAGGTGCATAAGGATCCACTAGTTTCTTTGTCTAAGTCTAATGTAGTATATAAAATAAATTATAATGACTGTGATGCGTCTTATGTGGGACAAACAGGAAGAAAATTAAAAACACGAATTGCAGAACACCGTAATCACATTAGATGGAATACGAGCTCTAAATCGGTAATAACAGATCACAGATTGCAACAAGGACATGATTTCGATTGGAATAATGTACAAATTTTAGATGAAGAACCGTGTTACAGTAAACGTATTGTCTCAGAGATGCTCAACATTAAAAAAACAGTAAAACAGTCTTAACCTACAGACGGACACAGAGGGTCTACATGGATCATATATTCCTATTATAAACAATATATGACTTTGCATTACCAAAATCTTAAGCATTATAATTTCGTACGTCGAGTTAGTTTGACGGTTATAAAGATTTTTATATTTCGGACGACTTGCATTTGCAATGTGAAAACAAAATAATGATTTTTTACCGATTTTGTAAGTAAATAACTGTTTTAACGACATGGATTTTTTCGATTTTCTGCACTTGAGGGTGAGTTTTTTGTCAGAGGAGCAATTGCTCTTGTCATAATATAATATTTTTTAGAAACGTAATTTTGTGTCCTCATTAGAACCACAGGGATACATCACAAACGATCATCCAATCGCTTGATGAGCTATTTTGTTCTCTCTGCGGAAATACTCAACTTTCTTTAAACATAACCGTCCATAACTCCATTGCGTTAATTAATATTTGTATGTACATCTGAGGAGGGCTCGAATATGCAGCCGAAACGTTATGTTTTTTGACTTCCGATATGTTATACATTTTAATTTGATTGCGTGCGTGTAATTTTTAGTGTGAATTTTAATTTATTTTAATTTATAATGTAATATTAAATGGTCTATTAGATCACACTTATAGTTGCCTTTTTATTTCATTATAAATTATTTAATACTAAGAGTCCTGTATATTCTTTCTATTTTAAGAAATATATACGTGTAATATATCCAGTAATAATGAAATCTAGTGTAAATTTGTTATCTTATCTTTACTATCGTTTTATTTTTGAATGACACAAAATAGAAATAAAAAGAGCACGACAAAATTGTGTGACATCTTAAGCGGTCATTAGAGATCACGTAGCGCGCGTGCGCTTTCGTCGCAGGATGACCGGTGCCACGCACGTAAGTCCACGCGTGACCGATGTGCGAATTGTATGAACTATCGTATCGAATTGCCATTACGGCTCGCACCTGAGAGCGCTCGCGCCGTCGCTACGAATGAATTTGCACGTGGTTTTCTGTGCGGCACGCACGAACTATCAACGCGCGTTAATTGCCCACATAGTGGTCCATGAAGTCTTTGTCGGTCTTTACAGCACTACCAAGTATATCCATGCTAGACTTCACGGCCGCTGAATGCTATTGATCGAGAATTGATTCGATACGATGTGTTTGCTGTATGATGTGTTGCTAAATATTATGCGATACCGACGCCATTCGAATCCTAACGGAAAATAAATTATACTTTTTTCTCTTGAATTGCAAATTGATTAAATTTTTTCCTGCTTTTGATAGAACTTATTGTCTGAAAATTTTGTAGGAAGTGTATCATTATGATATGTATTTTCGCTGTCAAACGTCGTAAATTACGTGAGAAAAAGTTTTGAAAGGTCCGTCCCTGGGATAAGTTTGCAGTGTGGAATCACAAGGAAAGTTGTAAGCTATGACGTTTAATTGTGCAATAAATCTTGATTCTTCGATTTGCAACCCATTTCCTACTGCGGGGGCGACGATTGGTCGCTGTTAAATTGGTGCGTAGGTGCAATGGAGGTACCTACGTATCCGTGTAGGTACGCCGAGTGTGAAAGTCGGAAGGACTTCATCTTTCCCTTTCCCTTTTGTTACTCTTACGTGTAAAATAGCGCACGATCTTTCGCCGTTGTTGACTTTATTAAGCCTAATCGCGATACAATCGCCTGAGTTATGAACTTGAATATAAATGTAAATTTCATCTGAAATTTTAATACATAAATGTAATTATTGCAACTATTTTGCAAATATTTGTTAACATCGTATCTATAAATTTACAACAAAGAATGTAATTATGCAATGAATGTGCCACTTTTTGAAAATTGAACTTTACGCGATCCTCAAGTTTATATTAAAATCAATACGATACGATGGAATATTTTTGCAGAAACAATGAAAAAACGCAAAATAGTTGCATTAGCTTAATTTCCATTCAATTACTCTGAAATAGTTTCCAATACTTTTCTGACGACAGTTCTTATTTTACTTTACAGACTCAGTGGCACAAACGATTACTCTCACGAGTTTTGCCTTCTTCCTGACTTCGTGGCTGAACTCGGCGTCGGGAACGTCCGCGAACGATCTGCAATTTGTGCCGAACTCCAGTGACATAGAACCCTGGTTTCAGCATCCTTGTGGCACCCGATTGGCGGCCTCGCGAAGGATGCACAACTCCAGCGACTCGAACAACATTATGAAGAGGGTGCGAACGCAATTGCGAGTCGCGCAGAATCACTTCAACAAGACTTTCAAGGACGTGCGCATAGTTTACTCGAAGGTGAGAGACGAGAGCGCTCTACTCGCGACCGCGATTCTGTAATTAATTGCAGCGCGGTGTCGGGGTAAAACCGCGTGGGCGCAGTGCCTCGCTCAAGGGGGACTCGCACGTGCGCGCACTCATCGCTATAGTGCCACAGTCCTATTTTCCGCCGGCAATTTGCATTGGTTACGATTGCCACGCACATCCAGCATAATCACTTTTTCCAACAGTCCCGCGGCGCGCGCGCGTTCTAGACGTCTCGCAGATTCGATGACAAATCGCTTCCGTCGCGTTGCGGAGCGAACGCGTCGTTACGCTCGATATTAAAAAAATGTCATTATCGCGAAATGTTATTAAACGCACTCCTCACGAGATGAAGATAAGCGGGTACATTTACATAAGAGGCTTTACTTGTTTATAACGTGGCTGTAACGAGATGATAAATGTTATTGTTTGGTCTACTAGAGAGCGTAAGATCGAGTTTATCCCGCGCACCGATCACGATCGCTTGGATAGAGCGATATATTTTGTTTATCGACCTTTATCACTCTTTGAAGCCTTACTCCGGACACGCATGGCTGCATTCCGAGACAGATTTGTGATATTACGGTTTTTGATAACACACTGAACGTAGTACTGGACTGTATAAACAAACAAGATCGCTTATATATGCCCGCAAATGTACATTACGCCACAGATAATTCATTAAATAATTCATAAATGTACGACAGTCATTTGTAATTTACGTCTGAATTTATGCGGCATAACGGTATAAGTTGAATGAGATTTGTGTAGTCATAAATTTTATACTCAATGATACTCATAATCAAGTACAAATAAATTATGCGTATGTGGTACGACTACAAATGTTCAATAAAATAAAATTCTATGTAAGGATCAGAAAAAATTAAAAAAAAAAAACGATTTAATCATATTAAATTGTGACCCGATCATTTAACTACGACTCGAAAGGTTACATTGTATTTTCTGTTACACAGGTATACAGAGTGCTGCTGAAAGAGCAGTATAAAATGAATTGGTTGCCTAAAAGGCAGCTCGAGTGGTATCACACGGAACTTTGGTGTTTGGAAAGGGGAAAGAAAGCTGAGCGTGCTCTTCCACGTCTATACGATGCGCTTCAAAGGTTCTCGTTTACGTTTCACCTTCTTAAAGAATATCGTCTTGACTCTAACATCGATGTCACTCGCAGCATCATTAAGAGGCGGACTAGGATTATCGACAAAGCGCATAATCAAGTTCTTAGGGTAAGCCATTTGCTTCTAACAAGATCTATATATATATTTACATGCACCGATTAATTGAAATGTATTTATATCACGTTTTTATAGAATTACTCGTAAATCAAACTAACCGTTTATCAGCAAGATATAAAACTAGAAATACTTTATTACACAAACCTGCTATCTTAGGTCAAATTGTCATAAAACTTATTGGGGGCGGATACGGCAAGGAATATCAACCTTTTAAGTGAAAGTACAAATATGTAAAAGTAACACTTCACGTTTGTGTATGATTGCAGTTGCTGTGTGAAGTCGAAGCCGCTATGATAAACCTAGAATTAAGAACTTCTGGTTTAAACGACGCATTCATCATAACGGACAATTTGCATTGGGCCAAAGAGGGCGATCTGACTGTAATGTTGATTCAAGATTGGGGCGTGTTAAAGCTTTATCATACTTTTCTGAAAGATTGGATAAAAGTTTTCCGCAACGCCACCACTGACAACACTTGCGACCATAATATTAAAAAAACGCCTTTAACTTTTACGCCGAATATGCCTAAAAAGTGGTTGAAGGGCAAAGGAATGAGGAAACATAAACCGACAAGGAAACCTGGTCGAAATAATTCTTTGCGTCAGAATCTGCGGAAGGGATCTCAAAGGAACAGACTGATGAAGAAGCAAAAAGGACCTACGTTACGAACATAGACCGACGTGTTGAACCTGAAGAAGTTTGCGCTTCGACGAGATCTGCTGATAATTTAAAGACACTGCTCTATACAGCGTCGAATCGTATACTATTTCACACTAACATAACTTTTATATTTATTCCATTATCACAATCATGTTCACTTCAATAGTTTTACTCGTTTTTCCGCAGATTTGCCAACAAAATCGTACTATTGTACTAATTGTAAGATTATGTATCTCAACAGCCGTAAAAAAAAACAAAAACTATTCAATCCAATAATTTTGGTTCAAACATTATTGGATGATAATAGAAGTATCTTATCGATAACGGCTGCGTACTAGAGACCAGTATTAAAAGATCTACTTCAGAACAGTATTATATCTAATAACATACATGCCGAGCATAGACCATAATTGTTGATAATAATGTTTCGAAGTACTCGGCGCACACATTCAAATCGATTAGACTCGCCAAAAATATCGGTCCAATGGATTACAGCCGCCGTTACTAAGCGCACCTGAAACACATAATCTTATCGTGTGTATGTAAGAGGAATGTAAAAATCCCATTTTCATTCTCAGGCATTCAACAATCTGAGATTCAACGAAAGAACAGTACATTATGGAAAATGCGTATTGAGAAGAGAGCGAGAGAGAAAGAAATGAAGTACCGAGGGAAGTACATATATATTCGCAGACGTACTTTGCACGTTTGAGATTGATCGTCTTGCATCCCGATATTCGAGTACATAGATCGATATGCCAGCATAGATCACGCTCGCGATCGAGGCGGCTTGTTAACACGGATTTAAAGTTGATTCGATTAAATCGACGGAGTCTGCGATACGCGCAGGTGACGATAGTATCGCGAAAGGATCGACAACGAGTTTAGGCGGCTCGTGAAAAAACTTATTTATTCTAGCTTTAAGCGGATGACGCGCGAAAACTTACATGTCGTTTAGCTGTGATATCCCGAGCGTACGCGGACGTACAGAGTTCCTACGTTTATACATATATAGGCGCATATGCACATACATATACACTTACATAGATAGGTATCGTGCGTCTGACGCGTACCATAGATGTAGACGTAGATGATTCTCTTCTCCTTTTTCCGGTGTGTTGTGCCGAAGAATCTCGCCTTGTCGTGAGAAGACACGATAATCTTTTTTTTTTATCTATTATATAGTTAGTCCGTCACTGCGTTGTATAAGCGCGTTATACGACGTCAGAAGCGTTTTAGCGGAGACAAAGTTCGATGATTTTTTTATATGGTTTCTTCCGATTACACGCAAGTGTACTAATCGATAAGGGACTTGTAGTTTTAATGAGAATCGTACGAGTGCTAATTATACGCGTATATCAGCACATAACGACGTGACGCGTCCTTTTTCCGATAGATTAAAATATATATTTATATATATATCGTGGAAAATCCGATATTTTATTAATAAAGCAGTACTTAAGTTACGTTCATAACTTAGCGTTTCGCATATTTTTTGTACTATGTATGCACACGACGCGAATGCAAAATTGTTCGTATAGACGCGCACTTAAATTTAAGGTCTTAAATGCATTTTATACAATACACAGAATATTTATTCGGACGTATATGCATAGTGTTCTGTTCTATTTATTGTATCACGTTACCATTGCATATACTATTTATTGTCATGTCCTTACTTATATGTGATCATCTCGAATAAATTCAATGTTTGTATCGAACTGAAGTTTGATGACAGAGATATAATCCTTTATAATCCACGTACTAGTTTAATTTCATGTTGTAAATCGTTCGTTTTACATGAACATTCAACCGGAAGTATCAGGAATGCATGAAGAATACTGCATAGCATTTCGATGGAAATAATGTAGATAAGAATGTGCTATTTAAAATGCAATAAACATGACTCATCGCAGCAATATTTTAAGCGATTGATTAGATAAGCAATTAAATAATGCATAGCGACATTAGTTTTTTTGTAACTGCCATTACATATTTATGTACATGTTATAAATATTGCTATATCGCAATGCTACTTTGTTGTCGCTTTCGTATATAGTGAAATAATTATCTTTATTTATAACATTTATTTAAAGATACATTTAGCTATATATTTTATTTTAAAGACAATAAAAGCGTAATTGTAATAATCATGAATATCACTCTATCGAATTTTTTTACTTATTTAACAATTACTTGCGTAAGCAATTTTTTTTTACTGGAAACTTTAAAATCGTACTTAATTTATATGTACTTAATTTATAAATTTAAAATTATTTTGTATTTAATTTACTACTTTTCTATAAGTAAAACGATTAGGCCAACATCATAGTGCAGTTTCATTATGAACAGGATTTTCCAGACGCATCAAACGTTGTAATAGGAGTACACGAAGAGTAGATAGGTTGTAATTGCTCTACACCGCATTTTGCGTTTATAAAGGATAAATTTATTTGCTGTAATTTAACTATCCGATGCTGCTGCATTAATAAATTGTTCGTTATGTAAAAAGCTAAAGTACCTGTCTGTTAATTCAATTCATTCTATTTATAAATAAATATATTTGCAAATAATATGCATGCATGGATTCAAACGTTTTATCATAATTTAAACAATAACATTTAATATTCAATTGCAGTTTATTAATACATACATCTGTGTGTTGTTTTTTTTTTATCATTAAAAACAGTTATGTCTGCTTCTTTTTCGTACGTATCCTTTTAAATCGATCATACGCACAATATTTGTAGCTACTTTATATGTAAATGCTATAACCATGAAATAATTTATTAAAGCTTTAAGCATGATTTAATTAATTTCAATGTATTCAAGTGTACCGAAATTATTCCAACAAACTTTGGTGAAATTGCGCCAATGCATATGATACGCTTCTGCGTTTGAATACGGTCATTATTTGTTTTCCTTTGTTCATGATATACTCTCGCGAAATAACACGTCACGATGCATCGCTACTTAATCGGACGTGAGAAGATCTCTAATCTTAGTTCGGTGAATTCAGAGAATCTAATTATAGTATCGCCTTTTATGGTATATCCCTTGGTACAACAAACACATCAACGTACGCATCGACGTACGTTCATTACGTCTACTTCATTCATAAGTTTTTGTCACCATCTCCTTCTTCGTGTCTTAATGGTAAAGAATTGACCTCTTCTGACGTCAAAATTACTTATGGGTCAACAGAACAAAATCGTTTGCATACGTAAAAGTACGAAACTGTATAGAAATTATTTTACTTCTAATGACACTGTTAAATGTACTGTTATCACATATTTATAAAAAAAAATACAGAGAATTTTTTTATTGTTCGTGTGCAAATACAATTGTTTAAATTTTTATACGTTATACGTATATATTTTTTTTATTAAAAGCTTGCAATACAAAAATAAATTAGCAAATAAGAATGCTATATATACAGTAATTATAAATTGTTTAAATTTGATATTTGAATATTATAAATTGTTTACCACATATAATTATTTATTTTTCAATTATGTATTATTACATACATTGAATTTTTCGAAATCACATATTGTGTGATAAAAATAGCAATTGCAATAAACGTAAAAGCCGATACCTCTTATTATAAATATTTTTCAACCTCATTCTTTTCGATTCCAATTATAGCTGAACGAACCTTTTTCCAATAATAATCATTAAACTTAGTACAAATAGATATAATACTGTTTTAAGTATGACGAAATTTCGATTGCGGATCTCTAATAATTCGTTTGACGACATGGCTTTCCCAATTGATTCATAATGCAAACACACCGATGTTTGCATCTGAATAGTGCGCACGGTATCCGAGAGATTTCTGACAGAGTTGCACGTACTTTCGAGGCAGACGCCATAAATGCGTGACGACATTGCAGGTACCGTTCGTAAGATTTTCGAGGAATATCTATATACACATGTAGGCGAGATGTACGAAGCATTGCCAATAGGAATTATTACTGCTAAGTGAACACGTCATTTAGATAAATTTGAATAGTTACACGACAAGAGATTTGTGATGAATGTAAACTCATTAATATATGTATGCGTTTATAGAATAACAAACTATAAAATAAAGTATACATATATATATATATATAAACTATAATTATTATTTATTCTAATTATCGATGTAAATATTATAAAACGTATGTGAGATTTCACAATAATTTTATTAATTAAAATAAATTATTGGTAAAAAGAACGCTATACAATCAATCGCGTTACATATCAAAGGTTTAAATCATATCACTTATCGGCGATATCTTAACCGGAAAACGTTTAAAAAAAAAAAAGGCATCGTTGATTCAATCAAAGAGACTTGTCCACAATTTCTCGGGGTTCTATCGGCGATACAATAAAAAAAAACGTGGACAAAACCTTAGCTGCAACCCCACCGTTTCCGTACGAGACGTCGAACATGCGTGCGTATGTACGATTGTTTACACAATCCCATATATAAGGAGGAAGCACGAGAGTTTGACAATCTCAGTTCACGATCTCACGTCGATCGAGAATATCGTTCAGTGCCTTATCGTTATCATTGTTCTAAGCCGATTCGACGAGATCGCTGTATTGAACTGTAAAAAATAATAGCAGAAATTTCACGACAATATAAATTCAAACATGTTCCTCGAGAGAGTTAGTCTAATCTCATCTATCTTGGCCGTTGCTTTCGCGGCTCCGCCACAAGTTTCAAAGAGGATATCCGGGTCGATACCGACGTGGCATCTACCGTGTGGAGAACTCGATATGCAAGCCGTTCCTTCAAAAAATCTCGAGGAGGAAATGAAGACCAGTCTGGAGAATCTTAGGCTGCAACATCAGCTGACGATGAACGACTACTTGAATCGAGATTACGAATACCTCTATGAGAGAGTTAGGATCGGCGTCGACGACTACCAGTACATACCTAATTGGGTACCCGGCAAGAAGGATGTGAATCTTATAAGAAAACTAACTGACGCTAGTACTCCAATGGTGAGTACAATCATTCAATTAACATTGTTGCTCATTACATCGCACGTGTTTCGGACCACAACTTAGATTTTGCCGTTATTAAGAGTTTCCAACGGTTTATCCAGCCATCAGCAACTCTTAACATAAATACGTGACATCAATTGGGCCCGCCAATTGGCCATTATTTTGCCCAAGAGATGTTGCGATTGCAGAATGCGAAGCACCTCTTTGGATGTTGCTCTATAGATAAATTTTTCTAAATTAGATCTTATTTCTACGTGAGATTCCTTCTCTTTCTCTCGCGGATCCTTTATGTAACATTACAATAATACTTCTCATTGCAACATTGTTAGCTACATTGGCTTCTTCGGCTACAACCGTTCTTCCTTCATTGTCAACGCAGGCAACATTATGTCTCAGGCCGTTAGTTTCTTCTCGGTCGTTAATATTCATCGTTTGTAACCGTCGTTACCGTGTAGCAGAAATGAAAGAGCAATCCGGTACGAGATACTACCGCGCGCGGAGGAGAGACGGATAACGAGCGTGTGCGGGAAAGAGAGAGCAGTGTTACAAGCCACCGTCGCGTTTTCAGCGACCGGCTAGCCGGCTGACCACCAGGTTGCAATTGATTAACGCAACGTTAAATAACAAATTTTAATGAGACGGTAATTATTATAAAGTAGCAGGCGAGCAGGAGCGAGCGCGGTCTCTCATGCGGTGCGCGCGCAACGCGACCGTACGTGTGCACTCATGTTCGCCGGGTCGTGCGGCTGCGTAATCGCGCTCGTCTGCCTCCTCGATGCGAGCACACTGATAACGCAAGGCTGATATCGCGACCCGTGGTACTCCCCGGATGCCGGCATTCGGGCACACGCAGCCCCCTTCCCCCCCCTCTCTCTCTCTCTCTCTCTCTCTCTCTGCCACGCCCCGTGCACTGCAGCAACATTGATCCTCAGCGATGCATTTTGTTGGGATATTAGTTGCGCGTCCTCGGAAGGTGGGAATTTTGCAGTGGGATCTTAAGCATCTCACGGTGATTAAGTTGCAATCGCTGATAAAACGCGAACGGAAATTCGGTTCCGCCGATCGTCAAGTTCCCCCTTTGATTAACGTGGCTAATAATTTTATCATTTGCGTACATTCAAAATATGCCTCTGACACATTTTCTTCCTGTTTTACATTTGTGTGATCAGAAAAACTATTTTTTAAATTATATTGAACTTTCGCTTCGATAAATTTTCTTAAGCTTAATGTAATAAATGAATAAATCGTTAAACTGTATGAATGAAAAAATGAGTAAAGCGGTTATATTTGCGCTCAGAAAAGTATAGCCACAAATTTACATACTTATTGTTAGATCTTTAGATAACTCTGTGAAGACTTTTGCCAGATTTTCTATTTCAATTCTTTAAACAGCACTAAAGTTAGTATTACACAAAACATTCATAAACATTTATATGGATGTAATAGAATAATTTCTAACGGAGCGATATTTACAGTTGACATTAACAGTTCCTCGACAAGAAAAAAAGTGATGCTATCGTAATCGCTTATCTTTACGTCAAAGTTTAATAATATCTTGAAGCGAATCATATAAATATTAATGAGCAAACTTAAATGAATCGGTTTCCGCGATATTTAAACGTTTAAACATTAAAATAAAGTAATAATTCTGTAATAACTGTTTTTTGCAGATTGTTAATCATTTCCCAAAATTGCACATGGACCTGCAGAAATTTGCCGTGGCGTTCGAGGAATTGATCCAGGATGAGCCTAACTCCCAAATTCGGCAAGCTCTCAAGGCGACTCAATCGTACTTAACAATGATGTTATGCGAAGTCGAAAGCAACATTATCTCCTTGCCCACCATACGACTGCCGACACGTGTAGAACGAAGCATCATGAGCCATACCGAGCGAAACCCCATCGATGAAACACGAAGACTCATCAGGGACTGGGGCGTAGTTCTCAAATATCGAGACTACTTACACGCTTGGAGGCACGTATTTAATTATTAGAGATTAGGAAAGTAGGGGTTGTTAATTATTGATAGCGGGTCATCGATCATTCTCATATCGGAACGTGACACAAGAAGATACATCAGACTATCAGACAGCGTGTACCATTGATGTAAATTGATTTAGCACCTGCCGTGACTGGTAATCATAAAATCACGTCACTACGTGACGATGCAGTAAACTTTGAAGTTATTGACAATAATCGTTTGTCATGTGGCGATCATTGCGAAATCCGCGAAAACTACAAATTCGCTTTACGGTCCGTGATAATTTCTCAAAATTATTTATTAAAGCAACTATTTATTACCTTAGCTCACAATTAAACGTGTGGCGCATAGTATTTATTTTTACATGTAGCAAATTATTTATTTGGTATATTAATTATTTATTTATCGCGCGGATCAATAGTATTTTTATTAATTGTATTAAAAAGTACCATGTAATTGATATCAACTTGTAAGATAATCGATTGCATTTTGTGATAAGTAGTCACGACGACAATTGTATTTGTCGAATATTTGTGACAAGTGATCACTCATAGATTCTTTTTTATTTATAAAAGACATTATTTATGTAAAAAAGACGATTTTTATTTTGCGCAGTATTATATATTTATAAGTCAACAAGATATAGATGTAATATATTTATATAATTTATTTAAACTTTTAGTAACTCTTATTTATAAATTTTATATATAAAATTTCACAATAAAAACGATAATTTATTAAATACGTTTGTATCTGTTTTCACACTATTCTTCGATATCTATCCTCGTAAATCCTATGTTACATTGTTGTAAGAGAATCGTAACAGATGTCTCTATAAGTAAAAAGCATACACGGTATATTATTTTTTTAAGGGAAATAACATTGTATAAATATTAAATATTAATATAAAGGATATTTTAGGAAACGCTGTATGATAATGTGTAATCTATAGAAAATAAAATAAAATATTCATATTTTCTTATATTTTTAAAGTCTAATTTTATCGCATGGTAAGTACTTTGGACTTTGTAAAGCAGCGCCACAACTGCCACAAAGACGTGTTGAAGAAATCTCGTGTAATACCTTTGAATAAGGTAACAAGGTACACGTTTTTATCGAACATGGGTTACATTCCCTGAAATTATTATGAACAAGTTAGACAGGAACAAAAACGTCAAAAATGCTAGTTTTATCGATGATACAGACGAGTCCAGCATCACCTTACAAAATCACACAAAATTAAAAATAATTTATAAAATTCATAAAAGAAATGCATTGTCTACAGTCGATATCTGATTACCCACTGAGAGTAAATTATCGATAGTAAGTAATCGATAGAAACTGTAATTTTGTCTGTTATTTTGTATTATACTTGTATATATACAATATAATCTTATCTAATTGTTGAATAATTTGTTTAAAGAAATAGATCTATTTCTACGCTAAAAATAAAAAATCGAATAAAAATAAAAATTCTCTCTTTTTAAATGAAAAATAGGAAATGCTGACATAAACGGCCGAATTTGGATCTTTAATGCTTTAAATAATTCAATATAAACATTTTTATTAGACTTAAAGCACAGCTAAACTACTAAAATAATATCAAAATTAAATTTTAATGCTTAATAAGCATCTATATATATTATTAAAGAAATCTTAATACGCTGTGGTAATCTATTATGCAAATAAATTTATTCAATCTTTTCATTTGCAATCCTTCGAAATAAATGTATTAAATAAGGATAGTTTTAATTAGAGAGAAAGACAGAGGGGGGGGGGGGAGGGGAGAGAGAGAGAGAGATGGGGCGTAAGAGTAAAAGTAAAAAGAGGAAGAGGAAGGCTTTTCAAGTAAAGTGCTTGCTATTTATCTATCATAATAAACGAAAGATCTATAGAAAGGTATACTTTGATCCTCAATAGAATATTGTATGTTTAGCGAGAGTGAGTTTGAATAGAATATGTTTAGCGAGATGAGTAGGTCCGTGCTCAAGTAATCATAACGAAATCATTCTCTGTTATATATAAACAGATGTATATAAACGTGGGTGGTAAAAGTAAAGATGATGAGGAAATTGAAATGGAAGTGAAAAGATTTGAATTTGACAGATAAAAACGAGCACATTACGTAGTCGCTCTCACTGCAGTGATTTCGTACTTTTCACAAGTCTTCTATAATTTTTTATTCATCTGATCATTTATATTCTGTTCTGCATATCACTGATGTCACGAACTCGTTGAATACATATTTTGTTCATTAAATTCGTAAATTACGATTATTCGCGTTGAATAAATAATCCCACGAAATATTTCCGATTGCTATCATGATATAAATATACTCAAATGCATTTACAATAAAAGAAAATATTCCAGTTATTCAAGAAACCTACATCATCAATTAGTTTAAAAAAATTAAAATTTAAAAATATTAAAAATATTTTACGTTTAAAAGCGCATATAATTTATGGCAGAATTAGAATTAATAATGAAGTTATTAATTAATGAAGTTATATACTTATTAACGTATATTAGTGACATTTACTCGGTAATAGTGCAAGTTAATTATTACTTGTGTTTCGTCGTAATCAATTCATATCTCTTCAATGAAATTGCATAGAAATAGGTTAGACTTGGTTGTTATATAGACGTCTTGTATACATAACTTTCGACAAATTAATATCAAGATATAATTATTTGGATCATTTGATGTACTTATTAATAGTCTTTAATTATTAATGTATGATTACAGAATTACAAATAAGTATTAAAAATATTTATATTAACAAAATTATAAAGACTACTCAAGACTCTTAATCTACATAATTTATATAAACAATTATAATATAACAATTATAAATGATTTATATAATTACACAACATTTAGTAGTTGTGAGCAGGTCACAATTAAGATCTTCCCCACGTACTCTAATTATAATTGTTTCCCAAGAACGAATGATACAAAGATTTCTCTTTGTGCCAACTATGTTGTTATCAAAATTACAATCCGTAACTTTCATCCTCGAGATTTCTACTATAATGAAGAACCAATTGCTTGATTATCTTATTATTTTAAATTTTTTAAGTGAAACACTTGAATTATCTTCCGCATGAGAAGGTTTCCCAAGGCATACTAAAACTATGCTTACAATACCATTATTTCGTTTAAGAGAGATACACATGGTGGATGCTTTCCAATTGCAATATCCCTAGACACTTTCGTGCACACGGCGATACAAGTTGCGTTCCAATTTATCGTCGACACAACACTGCACATCTGTACTCAGCCGAGGGCTGTGTAGCCTTGTGTTTTTTAGTGACATTGAAATCGGGAGATTATATAAATGAAGTTGAAGAACATGAATTTTTGTCTTTTTAACGCAATATATTACGGTACGGAAAAGCAACGAAAATAACGAAATGGACGATGAATGTTCATGAAATTAACCTTACTATATCCCAAACCGCTGTTCCAATTGAATGTAGATTGCATAGAACGCTGCACTTCGTGCATTCCTGTGTACGCTTGTGTCAAGATGTGTTGAGTAATTGGAAAACACCCAGTGTACCACATGGTATGCATTTAAGTGCATCATTTTCAATGTAGGTCATTTTTTCATTTTGTTGATATCAGAGTTTCAAATTTAGTGGTATTTCTGCATTATATAGATCGTCCTATGTATAATTTGAAGATTAATATTAATTAATTGTATTAGAATGCAATTAATTAACATTATTAATTTATTAATACTCTATTTCTCTTTTTATTACATTATTTATTCCCGTCGCTTTCAAAAACATGCTTTAAAAATAGCAAGCAAAATTTGTTGAATAACTAATATAGCCAATAATTTTAGACCACGATACATTTAATATGCATGCTAAAGCGGAAATAGCGTTTCAATCACACATCAGATGACTAATATCATGCGACTTCCTTTGCCTGCCACAGATCACTATTAATGAGATTTCAAAAGCAACGATCATTGACCTGTGCGAATATAATTTTACTTTCTCTCTATATATACAGATGTTTCTGATCGAGTGATACGTCGTCCATATATTTGCTTAATAATAGAAATTTTATGAATCGATTTCAAAAAACAATCTACATTAAATTAAGATTTAATGTATTATATTTATATATATTGTATATTATGAATTTTATATTTTCCATAAATATTGCTCTCCATTTTTGTCTTTACTGTAAAGATTAATTTTGTCTGTATACTGTAAAATAATTTAAACTTCTGTTTCACAAAAAAAATAAATTAGCATAAATATATCAGCATAAAAAATTAAATAAATCTTTATAAGGAATAATTCTGTTTTTATTTTGTAACAACTAATATTGAATTGTTTAATAATTGATTTTAAATTCTTTATACATAATTAATCGAGAAATCATAGATGTATATAAGAAGGATATCTAAATAAAAATATATCATTTAAAAATAAAGAAATAAATTATGATATTCAATTTCTATTTTTTGTTGTAAAATCTAAAATACTAGTTTATTTCCTGGTTACAAGAACAATCACGATAAAGTATAATTTAAGGCGCTAAGCTTCTATTAAGCGTGAAGAAAAGTATCGTAAAGCATTCCGTCAACAGTTACAATTTAGCACTAAATTGCTGCGTTCGCAAGGTGATGTTTTAAATTTTTAACAGCAATTTATTCAATAATGGAAAGGATTCCGCTGGGCGTTAACCATACACTGCTATTCCAGATCGGGTCAATAAAGTTCAAGATTTAGACACTGTGATGGGAAAGTAATACTACATTTAACGTGTGACTCGATTTATAATTGTGTTTGAACATTCAATAATAATTAAATCCCTTTATCAATTTTTTTTCTCAATGAGCTAAAATAATCAATTACATATTTCTTTATTGTAATTAACACATTATTCATACTAAATCTATTCAAGTAATAAAAATTGACAAAGCAATCGTGTGCAAAACTTTATCCAATTTACTTTGTGAATTATATGTATTGAAACGGTGAGAGAGAGAG